GGGAAAGAGAGCTGGGAAGAATAAAGAATGTTAAGTGCTGCGTGGCATTTAGCTTACACGAGCAAGGAGGCTCAGCTCCACGACTCACAGGCCCACAGATACTGGGTTGATGGGGAAGGGGGTGGACAGATGGAATACTACACATATTCTAGATATGCTCTCTCTAGTGTCAAACTCCTACACATCAAAACACAAAACAAGAACTGTCCACAGTGCACCATCCACATAGGGAGCTATCCACCAGCCATAAGAAGTGTTCCAGTTGTCCAGTGCAAAGCTTCCTGCTGTCATTGTTAGCAAAACTAAGGCTCACAAAATGTTCTGCTCACCAGCAAAAAAGGACACGCAGAGGGATTCCCACACCTCGTTTCATAGCAGGAGTATGCCATGCTGGTTACACTCAAGGAAACTCTCTCAGGCCAAACACAGTCTGGCACAAGACTCCTTGACCTCCTCACCTCTGGCAGTCCAAGAAGCTGCTCATACAAACCTCCCCATCAGCTACTTCCTGAGCAGGTGCTGAAGTTACTCCCCTGCTCACTCAGAACCTAGATAGGCCCCAAGATATATCTACATTGCAGTCACAGGCGTGATTTGCAGCTTGTGTAGACACACACATTGAAAACAGAAGGGAGGACATGATGGCAGGGCTTCTGAATGGGCTGCTCAAGTTAGTACATACCCAGGACAGCCAGGTGGGCACCTGCAGCCTGCAATGAAGCTCATGCTGCTGTGATCTCACTGCTATTTTTAGCCCGCTAGTTAGACAATAGCTAGGGCTGGTACATCTGCAAAAGGTGCAAATCACACCCACAGCTGCAGGGGAAATAGGCTGGAGTCATCTCTTGATACTGTGGAGCTTACAAAAATATTTCCTTAGATGAAGAAGAATGATAAAGGACATCTCATCAAAACAGTAACGAGGAAAAATTATGCCTAACCTAGGGAGACAAGAGAACCATGGCAGAGACAGCGTCACTATGAAGCAACCAGCGAAAACTGGGAAGTGACCAATGGACAGAAGGTTGCAAACTCCAAACACAGAGCATGACATCCTTTCTGGCCGGGACATACTCAGGTCTGTTTTAACACTTCAGAACTCCCCTGTAGCTTGTCAGGCTGAAAAGGCTGACTGAATTGAGCTGTCTGTCCCTACAACATTCCCCAACACCACAGAAATAGTCTGCAAATTCCAATGCCACACAACACAAAGACACTGCAATGCATTCTCAGCTTTTCAGCATTATGTATCTTAACTGCAACGTCTTCTATGCAGCAACTGAGCTGCCAAAACTCCCAATGGGAGTAACACCAACAAACATCCATCTCAGCTTGTAGTCAGACAGGAACCCCCTTGTAACATCCATTTTTGCTTGCCTGGAGCATGCAGGGCACACAGAGCAGAAGGCCCAGGCTGTGTGACCGTGAATGGCTGTAAACAGAGATACTCCAATTGCTGACTAAGAGGCTGCCAAGGGGTGCCCTTGACTTAACCCATATTGATACGAACACATAGCCATCCGCGGGGGGAGGAATCTCTCGCCCAGTAAAAAAATGTCTAGTACTCACAATTTAGTTATCTCTCTTGCAAGTGTCAATTAACTTGAAACTTGCTTGTAAGAACTGGCGCCACAAAACAGACCAGTACAATTCGGCATCTTAGCTAAGAAAGAGGATACGGGCCCCCAGGGGTATATAGATGGGTCCAGCAGCGCATTTTCTCTGAGTGTCAATCTACCATCTATCTGCTGGTCGGGTTAGGTGTTTGATCTCCCGAGGTTCCAAGGGGACGCCCACCTCGTATTCGTCTTTCCTAGGAATTGAGAGACCGGCCCTGGCCTGACACGTTGGAGTCGAGAGGCACAGAAAGGGGTAAAAATTGTACCTGGATGTGGTCCTTTGCTTAAGTATATATATACATAGACTTAGAGCTCTTTAAAGATTAAGCTGTCACTTGGTACCATTATTTCTATTTTCTATCTTTACCTTTTTCCTGTGATCATTTTTAAGACCTATATATATATATTTGCTAGCATTTAAGAAATAGAGCAATAGCCATTGTAACCATATGCTTTTATAAGTCTTTTAATAAACCTGTAACTGTTTAAGCTTTAACCTGACTCCTCCAGTTGCTGTAACAGAACCAAGCACAATTTAAAAGAACTTCAGCTGGTCATAAAGGGACAGACATAGGGAGAGCTTGGGCGTTTGGATCTGTGTCACTCCCAGGTGACAAGATCCGTTGGGGCACCTTTCCAGCCTTTCCCAGGCTGCCCGCTGCGAGGAACCCCTGTGTTCTAGCAGCTAAAATCTAAGGTGTAATAAGCTCTTCCTATATAACGGGGCGTCTGTTGGCCTGCTGGCCACCCTCTGCGATGGGACCCCGGTCCTAGCAGTAAAGACACGGACGTTAAACCTTTTCTCGGAAGCATACACACACACACTGCCCTGACCGTTGGCTGACACAGCTCCCCACTGGTATTCTGTGGACGATCCCTTGCATTCACCTCCCCATTGGTAATCTGTGGATGATCCCTTGATTTCTGTTTCCCATACAGCTAAAAGCTTTGTGAGCAAATTTTGAAACAGAAGCCAAGGTCAATGTGTACAGTCCAATTGAGGGATCTAAGCGTAAGTGCTTACCTTTCAAGAACAAAGGGATAAGATGTCATCTCTTATACAGGTACATAAACATGATTAGCACAGCTAAACTCCCGGCACTATATCAAGAGAAAGGTTATAAAGAAGATCATATGCCAAATTCTGCTTTTAGTTACATCTATGAGACACCACTGACACTAAAAGACTTATGCAGGTGCTTCTCAGAGCAGACTCAGCCAGCCACTTTGTGGAATTCAGTTATGCCCATTTCGTTATCTCTTTGAGCTCATTTTAGGAGAATGTGGTATATATTTCAGTCACAGACTATTAGAAACTATACTTTCCAAGCTACACCTTCATTATAAAATAGTCCCAATCATGCACTTACCATCTGTGCCCGAAATGGTGCAGGAATAACAGTCTGATTGGAGAGGTGGAGTGTACGGGAAGCATCCTTTAGAACCCGAATACTGCCGAAATCTATCTGATCGGGGTCCACGTAGACAACTGGGCCTTCGCCAACAGTCACCAAATAGATCTTCTGCTCCAGGAAAAAGAGGGAAACAAAACCAGGGAAAGCTGCAATGGGCCAGCCAGTTCTCATGGATTTCTACACCCTGGGACACAGAGCAGTAGGGAACCACAAGAGTAGACCTGGGATTCTGAGCAATCTTCATAGGAAGAAGGCTATCCATTCAGAACAGTTATCCTTCTGCCTATTTGCCTTGTTTCCACCAAACCAACTGCATTTGTCCTGCAGAGCCCACCAGGTGATCATTGCCATCCCATCTTATTCCATCTCATCATTTCCCCGTCCTTCCATCCAAGGCTATGTCTACACTCGCGGCTTCTTGCGCAAGTACAGTTGTTCTTGCACAAGAATCTGCAGAGCGTCCACACTGCCCGCCCGCTCTTGCGAAAGTAAATTTACAGTATGGCGTGGTAAGAGAGGGCTCCTTGTGCAAGAGCTACACTCTTTTTTGACAGGTGTAAGCCCTCTTGTGCAAGAGCTCTTGCGCAAGAGGGCAGTGTGGACGCTCAGCAGGGATTTCTTGCGCAAGAGAGCATCCACACTGCCATGGGCGCTCTTGCGCAAAAGCACAGCTCGCACATGGCAATGTGGACGTTTTCTTGCGCAAGCATTCTTGTACAAGAACACTTGCGCAAGATATTCTTGCGCAAGAAGCCGCGAGTGTAGACATAGCCCAAGTGTTTTGGCTTCCATGCCCCCAGCACTGGCAAATGAGAACCACCTCCATCAGAGATATACTGGTGTGTGTGAATCAGACACTTCGGTTTTAAAGTCTTTGGACCAGAGCTCAGATCTTACTTGCCTCTGAAGTGCCATGAACTTTATTGATATTAATGTTGTCACCTGAGCTGTAACCATCTATCCTGAATAGCTATGGCCATGTCTTCATTGTGGCTCAGCCCCAGAAGTTACAGAGGGGCAGGATGGAATGGTGGTCTGTTATCCAATCAAGCAGTCAAAGGTTTAAATGTTCACACCAGTATTTTTGTAGTAAGCTACATACGACACAGGGAGCAGGTCACAGGCAGTCAGACCTATCGGTCAAAGCAGTTGTGATTAGGCCTAGTAGTCAGATCAGGAGTCAGGAACCAAAATCAGCACCAGAGCCAGGAATTAAGCCAAGGATCTTACCAGTATTGGTAGCCAGGGTGGGACTCAGCAGCAGAAATCTGGGACAAGGCAGGAGGGTAGGAATGCAGGATTAAGGCAGGGCTCAGGAATCAGGGAAGATGACAGGATCCAATGTAGCAGCCACCCAGGGATTCACTTAGTTGCTGAAAGTCCTTTGCCTCCATCTGGCTTAAATAATGAGTCTGAGCCAATCAGAGAGGCCACAGATCACCACCAATTGAGATCTTCATGGGTAGTGCCTAAGGTGAGCACCTTCCCTGCTGCTGCTGTCAGATAATGGCTGAGAGCTGAGGCCAGCCTACGGACCCACAGGCCTGGGGTTCAAGACATGAAATTCCCTCCTACCCACTCCTAAAATGAAAAATCCCTCCTAGAGGCAAGATGTTCTGTGACGCCTGGAAAAGCCAAGTGTGTGATTCAGACACAAAGTTCCAGTCTATCCTGTAGGGCCCTCTGAATGATATCCAGCTCTAGCAGCTCCCAGTTCCACTCATCTGGAAAGAATGCCATCAAACCCCAGTGCAAGCTGCATGGGTCCCTACACCCGCCCAATCAGACTGCTTAGGGGCAACATCCAACAGCTACCAGGGCTCACCTGCCTTCACTGCAGACTTGCAGGGGCTGTTTCCCCAACAGGCTGGCGAGAGCAGGGATGTGAGAAGGAAGCCCATTTACCGACTCATGTCCCAGCTCTGGACAGTTTGCTTATCTCCAGCACTCAGAGAAAGAGCAGGATTGGGGGGCAGTGTGGCAGAAGAGGATGGGGCTTTCCCTTCTCGAAAGAGCCACACTGCTGGGAGAGTTCGTGACATCAAGGATTTTCACGCATACCTTTTGCATTCTAGGCCTTATTATGAATGGAATTATTAGGAGAACTTGTATTTGCCACTCTGGCCCTGAATACAGTTGGGAAGCAATACTCTGCTACTTTAATGTTTGGAAGTGATGCCTTTTTAATAGAGAAAACTGAAGAGGACAAAAACATGCAAGAAAGAGTCCCTGTAGAATGTGCATTGAAAGCACAGCTACATTTTTAATATGCTGTTCCCCAGCAGAGCAATAAATGTTAGCATGTGTCCTGCCAGGGTGTTAAACTTAGTGTTCTGTCCTTCGTTTTCTATGGAACATCCAGTCAAGTCAGGCAGACAAGCCACCCAGAATTCCTAGCTGTACTGGACAGGTACACTTGCTGGATATACAGGCAGTCCCCGGGTTACGTACAAGATAGGGACTGTAGGTTTGTTCTTAAGTTGAATCTGTATGTAAGTCGGAACTGGCGTCCAGATTCAGCCGCTGCTGAAACTGACCGTTCGTTTTCTATGGAACATCCAGTCAAGTCAGGCAGACAAGCCACCCAGAATTCCTAGCTGTACTGGACAGGTACACTTGCTGGATATACAGGCAGTCCCCGGGTTACGTACAAGATAGGGACTGTAGGTTTGTTCTTAAGTTGAATCTGTATGTAAGTCGGAACTGGCGTCCAGATTCAGCCGCTGCTGAAACTGACCGCCAGTTCCG